ATAAAGGATATTACATGCATTGCATGGATTATACTTATCGAGCATTGCATTGCTCACCTTTGTTTCTTATGGTGTAGGAAAAGATAAGGATCAATGAGGATTCGCAACCAAGACAAATGAAAGACTTTCCCTTTTTATGTGTTATGGGTTAAAGAGTATGAGAATCTATACTTAGCTTAACTTGATATTTGGTCACATGTATATATTATCCGAGTTAAGTAAAGTTTGGGCTTGTAAATTAGTGAATTGAATATTATCTTGCATTAATAAATATATGAGTTGAATGTTAAGTTAAGGTTATGGTAAAACTTGTTAGTCATAGAATTTGGTTGTCTAATATGACTAATATGGCTAGGATGATATACTTTAATTGGATTATGGAATTGATTGCAATTTAGAATAAAAAGTACGAAATCAAAATGGAATTCTAAGATTAAGTTCAAGAGTAAATCAAATGGCTAAATTATTAGTGAAGGTTTAAAATAGATTTAGTGATGACCTTAATGAATTTAAGGATTTAAGGAAAATCATGTCTAAGCTATGTTTAAGGTGGACCTAGCATTTCATACTCATTAGGAACCTAATGTAGAAATTACCCATTTTCGCTAATGAACTAGATATGATAGGAGATGAGGCTATTGTCTTACATTCATTGCATTTCGAATGTAAGTCAATACCGATAATATCCGGAACCTATATATATCCTAGGTCGGCGGTGTTACGATATTGTTGTTGTGATTAAAGAATGGACAAACGATTAAGGAGAGTATTTCTAACATTTTGTGAAACTCAAAACACTTGAATGAACCCGAAACTTTTAATGCTTGTGAATGATGTGGATGAATAAAGAGTTGATTCAAAGACAATCAAATGATCTAAGGTTTGTTTTTATGAAGATTAAGGACTCATGAACATTTATAGATGATTTTAGATGTTCTTTGAAACCCAAAAGGCTTGAGTGAATCTAAGAAAGCAAAGATCCAAAACCCAAAAACTTAACTTAAAACGTAAAAATTTATCCCAAAACTCAAAACTTCTAGAAGAAACCTAGAAAAACCTAGAAACTTATAAATGTAAATCCTTGATTTCTCTTATTTTTTCATTATCTACTCTTGTTTTCCTTTTCTATCTTCTCCAACCCCCTTTGTTTGACCTCTAAACACTTTATTTATACCCAATTCTCTTACTCCTTTATGTTTTTTCCTACCAATCATTTCAACCCTAAAACCTCTCTCTATTCTGTTATTCATTTAACGCTACCATTCTCTTTGAATTTTATAGTATGACTTATAGACCAAGGGGCTTGGATTGTTGAGCTAATTGAATGAATCTCATTCGGTTAGAAAACTAGGATCAATCGAAACTATCTCTAGTTTCTTATTTGCTAGAAACGAGTGAATGTTCATTCAATATTTTGATTGTAAATGTACAAAATAGTCCTCTAACTTTTTGAACTTTTCAATCGTATCCTCCGTTTTTTTAATGATGCCACTTAATTTGTCTTTTTTTTTTTTTAATTTAGCCCTTATTAGCTTCCAATCCAAGCTGATTTCATGCGATTATGCCCTCGATTAAACCTAACCTTTAATTTTGTATTTTTTTATATTTTATCTTCTTTTTTTTACATTTTTTTCTTTTTAAGATTTTTTAATTTTTAATAATAATTACAAAAATAAAATAAAATAAAAATGCATAAAAATAAGAATGAAGTGTAAAACAAAAATAACGAATAACCAAAATAATAAAGAAGGATAAAGTAAATGACAATAATAATAAAAATAAAAGGGATGAAATTAGGGAAAAAATATAACCCAAAATTTAGGTTATGACGGATAGTACAAATGACAATGAAAAAACAATGAACCTTATCTTGCATCCTATTTGTTCTCTATTTTTTATGCATAACCTATAATGGAAAGTTTTATATCACCACTAGCTAGTGTTGTCAAATGTTTTTTTTTTTTTTTTTTACATTAAAGGATGAACAATATGATTCAATTTTATATCCATTATTATACAATGTGATTTCCAAAAGATTCAAATTTAGTAGACACCATTAAGAAAAGATCCCATTATAAGGATTAACCTAGTTGATTTTTGCTACCCACTAATCTTTAGGTGTCAATTTTGTGAAATAAAAATCACCAAATAATATAACATGATTTAATTATGTATTTAATGATAAAAGAAATAGTTAGGATGCGGTACCAAAAAATCGATACTCCTAAATACTAGGATGCTATTTGATTACTAGAAATAAAGAGGGGAAAATAAGAATGAGAGTTTTATTCATATCTTATAGTTGTTTGGTTGAAAAAATGAAGTAGGAATAGAAATGAAAATTAAATATAGCTTTATTCCCATGTGAGATGTGGGAATAAAAAAAAATAAGAATAATATTTTTTAAAATAATGATATACGATTTTTATTTATTATGTATCAACTACTTCTACTTGTCACCACAACCATTGTTGCCGCCACCACCACCACTACATCCATTGGAGATGGTGATAAATTTATTTTTATAAAAAAAAAAACTATTATTATTATTTGTCACTACTTTTATTTAACTACTACCATTACTTTTATTATACCACCATTGACAATGGTGATAAATACAATTATTATTATTATTATTATTATTATTCCATCACCATCATTTTTATTATACCATTACCACCATCACTCTTCTTTTCCTTCTATCTCATTTGGTGATGATATCAATTCTTTTAAAATATATTATTACTATTACTATCACTTATTCTCCATCCTCCTCCTACTTCATCACCATCATTACCATTACCTTTATTATACAACTATCACCATCGCCATCGCCACCACCACCACTATTCTTCTGCTACTACCTCCTTTGATGATGTTATTAATTTTTTTAAAATATATTATCACTATTATTATATTGTTATTACTATCACTTCCTCTTTATATGCCTCTTACCACTGTCACCACCATCACAATCATTTCTATCATTTTTATTACCATTATAATTGATAAAATTATTTTTCTAATAATTATTCTTAGTTATATTTAAAATTAAATATTAAAAAATTTAAATTTTATTTTGATTTCTTATTATTATTTCAAACACGGTATGAGAATGCAAATATCATTTTAATTTTTTAATTTTATTTAGATTCTTACATTTGTATTTTAGATCTTTCATTATTGGTAATCAAACAACACTTAGAAGTTTTTTTTTCAATTCTTGATAGAACACTTGCATTAAAAGAATAAACAAATAAAAAGCTTTTGTTGAGCTAATATTAGGCTTTTGAGTCTTTTCTTGAGCAAGCATTTAAACAAATCTATTTACAAATGACAATGAGTTTGGTATGAAATGGATATCTACTCTATATTTTTTCTTAAGTACCCATTGAAAATATTTAATGAACATTGAAGAAGATATATATATGCATTCGTTAATATGGTTTTTTGATATGAGTATTCATTTTATACCCTATCAATACCAATTATTTAAAAAAATTAACATAAAAGTATCTATTTGCAAAAAATTTATAAAATAAGTAACAAATTGTAAAAAATATATATATTAATTTTGAGGATCAAAACACTTTTTTTGAAAAATACAAAAAGTAAAATAAAATATTTTGATAAATTAAGTAAATAAGATATGAATGAAATATGAGTCTAAATGATAAATATATGATGAGTATAGACAAAATATATATTTTTAATAAGTTTAAGTTAAGGGATTGAATTAATGTGCTAGATACTAGTCTATTACCATCTACATATGTCTATCAATCTATGTTTTTGTTATCTTGCATCTAAAATTTCACTCTCTCTTTAAGTCTATTTTCTTACACTTCAAATAAAGATGTAGACTTTATAAGTAGTAGTAGTAGTAATAATAATAATAATAAAGACAGCGCTCAACTGAAACCCTAATTTAAGAGAATGATTTTTTTTATTTTTTCCTGGAGATGATAACTATCATGTTGGCTGTAGTGAGTCAGTGATGAAGGTGGACCCTGGAATTTGTGGGCATTATGCGCCACTCTATCGGGCCAATAATTAAAGATGCATTATCTAACAAGTAACAGGGTCGCAGCTCGTCCTATATAACCTTCGCCGTCTGTGGAAATTGTGGGCTAAATGCTAAATAGACTTTGTACAGTGGCTTTTGCTGGTTTGGCCCATGCTCACTGAGCAAGGATCTCCATGCTACAGTTGATCCATCTTGTGTACAAGTAAAACGCAAATAACAAGTTAACGACCAACCCCCTTCTTTTTCCTCACACACTCCAAATTTTGCTTCGTTTTTTCTTTCTCCTCATTCTGTTTCTTCTTAGCCTTCATTTCATTTTGTCTATTCTTTCTCCTCAAGATGAGATTAGGCTAGTCCAAAAAGCAATGGATTTACTAGGATTGAACCACACAAACCTATCTCATCAAAGAAATGAGATAACATCTAACTATGGTACCAGATAAAAACCTTTTCTTTTTATTTGTTATTATTCTTTTTTTCCACCCAAGTGCTAATGTAAATAAAATCTTTTGATCCTATCTGAAAAACTTAAATGCTCATTTTACAATAAAGAAACTTGTTTTCAGCTTTTAGATGATAAAATTTAAACAAAATTTTCCTATAATATATATATATATATATATATATATATATATATATATACGCACACACTTAGTGGTAGTCTGCCATGAGATTTTATGGTTGAAAACCTGAGGATCAAAGGATTGATTGATGAGTTTTTGATTTTGTAGAGGATTTATTGGAAAGTGTGGACTAAATGACCTTTGAACAGTTTGGTTCAACTTAATGTTTGATTTGAATGGAAGCGTATGGAAGGCTTACAATAGAAAATTAAATCGATAAGGAACTAGATTAACATATCAAAATAGTAAAAGGATAAAACAGGTCATTTAGCCTTTAGAACATTCCCTTTGCTACGTGTAACCAGAATTCAGAACCCATTAAAAAAAAAAAAAAAAAAGAGACAGCCTTGATGGATCTTCTTTGCAACGCATACTCTAACTCCTCGGATGAAGAATCCGAACCCAAACGCGAACCCGAATACCAACCCGTTATTCCTCCTCCTCTAAAACGTTTCAAACCGGAAATCCCATCTCAAAATATCCGAACAGAAGCTCCGGTTTCTGGCAGATACATTTCCAAGCGAGAACGAGCTCTCTCTGCTCAATCGTCTCAGGTCCCCAACCCGGAAAAGAAAACGAACCCGAACCCGAATCACCCCGCTGTCACTTCACCTGGTAAATTTCTCTTCTTTTCTTCACTCACTATTAACTTGGTTGCAATTCTTTTTTTTTTTTTTTTTTTTTTTTCTGGGTAATGTATATACTGCTGTTTTTTATGCTGATTTTAGCTTTAAAGAAACTGCAATGTTGTGATTTAATTTTTTTTTTTTTTTTGGGAACAAAGTTACACTTTCTTGTTTGGAAAAATTTTAATTTGAAATAAGCAAAGTGCTGTTGGTTGTTTGGCGAAAAAAGATTAATGGGTTTGATTTATTTTGCATTATTAACAACCATGTTGCTTTAAAAATATGATTTTTTTTTTAATATTACTGTATTTAGCCTTTAGCCACTGAAAAATAGGTACATGATTGCTTTGTGCAACATTAGATTTTGATTATGAATATTGGATATACTGCAATTGAAGTAAGGGGCTGAATCTTTTTTCTTTTTCTTTTTTAATTAATTCTTGTTATCAGTTCTGGGAAGTATTAGTGATTCGGAGATACCCCGTGATGTTTTATCATCGTTGAGGCAAGCAAACAGCCGTGTATCGCTAAGTCAAATACCCAAAAGGCGGGCTGTGGATTTGCGTAGCCATACGAAGGCTGTCAATGCTTTACATTGGTCTCCAAGTCATGGTATAAATCACTTTCTTTTAGATTGCGTCAATATACTTTTTTGGTTTTGTATTTCTCTATCTTTAGCCGAAAAGTTGTTCTCAAAGCATTATACTTTATTGTTGGTATTATTGGCCTTATTGATCTTTTCATTATAGTTATTCTACAGCTCATCTTCTTGCTTCTGCTGGGATGGATCAAACTGTCTGTGTATGGAATGTGTGGAGCAGAGATCAGAAAATAGCACGTGTATTTAGATGTCATAATGCAGCAGTGAAAGATGTGAAATGGTCGCCACAAGGATTATCTGTGCTTTTTTGTGGATACGACTGCGCATCAAGGTTGATTGATGTTGAAAAGGGGATAGAAACTCAGATTTTCAAGGAAGATCAGGTTGTTGGAGTTATAAAGTTCTGTCCAGATAACTCCAACATCTTCCTTTCTGGAGGATCAAAGGGTCGTCTCAGATTGTGGGATATTAGAAGTGGCATGGTGGTCCACGAATACATTCGAGGTCTAGATCCAGTACTTGATGTTGAATTTACCATCAATGGCAAACAGTTTATCTCATCCAGTGATGTCTCTGGAAGCAATGTCAGTGAAAATTCTATCATTGTTTGGGATGTCTCACGGCAGGTTCCATTGTCCAACCAGGTAAGAGAGTTCTTCCTGCATTTTTTGGTTTCCATCATTGCTTCTTCTTTAGATTTATTACAATGCTTGCGCGCTTGCATTTCTTTGGGAGGTTTCTTTCTTCAACTCTGCAAAATGGTTTACGAATTTTTTTGGGGTGGGTGTCACAGAGAAAATGCATTTAAGCTAGGTAGTAATGATACAGGCCTTTGGTCCCCATGTGTGCACGCATGCTAGTGGCCTCTACTTGGTAGATATTTGTTTCATCTTCTACTTTAGACCTCACATTTGATATGTGAATTACCCAAATGTTACCCAGGTTCATTCCAAAAATCAAACTTATGTACAAGCAAACAGACAAAGAAATTGGGAAAAAATAAATTGTAGAATTACAGTGATTTCTCATGCCTGATGTGTTTTTTGTATCATCTTCTACCTTAGACCTCACACATTTGATATTTGAATTACCCAAATGTTACCCAGGTTCATTCCAAAAAATCAAACTTATGTACAAGCAAACAGACAAAGAAAGGGGGAAAAAGGAAGGGTAGAATTACAGTGATTTCTCATGCCTGATGTGTTATTATTTATGGGGGAAGTAACCATAATTATTGCCTTAAACTTCTTTTCGAATGTTCTTTGTTCTGCAGACATGGGGGTGTTCAATGACATGGCACTCAAAATTCAATCTCAGATTTGCTTTAGATTATTTTCAGTTTTATTACCATGTTCGTAAGTATTTAACTTTTGATACTTTCCTCTGTCTGGGGGAATTCCAGATGCTTATGCTCTTAGATTTAATTGTGCATTAGCCTGTCTTATCATGCTTGCGTAATAAACTTGTGCAGAGCCATCCATCTTCCCATGCCATTTAACAGCGAGTTATCCGGAAAAGGCGAACAGACCTGATACAGAGCACTGAAATAGCTATGACAATGTACTCATTGCAAGTGTCTTGTCTGTGATGATAGTGCTTGTAGTTTTAGGATACGGAGTGAACCAGAATTTATTTAAAATTGTTAGTTAAGCCATTTACTGTTCTGATGCAGTAATGCAGATTCATGAGCTTAGGGAAGGCCAACTTCAAGAACTTGAAAAGGTGGATGACTAATTTATTGTCAGCGATTGTCAGTTTGATTAGCCTGTTGGTGACTTTTCCTAGCACAAGGCTTTTTTTAAAAAAATAATAAAAATAAAAAATAAAAAATTCTGTTAAACAACGAGGGAGTGGGTAATTTTGCGAAGTTGCTATCAAAACTATGCTTTGATCAATCAAATCACATTTCACTTAATCAGCAGCCTCTTTAAACAATTTGGGTGCTTAGACTTAAGTACTGTGTTTCACAATGCAACACTTTGATTTATGCTCCAAAATCTTACATTTTTAGATGCTTGGTCACCAGCTGAGCTGTCAAGTCCTTCTCCCGAGGCCCTCCTCGCCCTAAAAGACAGGATCTAAATTCTATCAAATGAATGAAGTTGATAAAAATTTCAGCCTTTAGCACTTTCACATGTAGAATGGTGACATGGCCTGAGGATGTATATTGGTTTATTTTCATAAATGTGATGCCTGATAATTACTATTGACCAATTCTGATGTAGTGTAAACTAGGTTACAAATCTGCTTCTTCGCATCCTATATCTCAAGTTTTCCACATGTTTTCTTGCAAACCTGGCCTTGTCCTTATTTGTATTAGTTCTTGAGTTACCTAACCTAATTCTTAAAACTAGCTGAAACCCCATGTTCTAGACTAATGAAGAATGAAATCACACATTGACCAACATCAGATCTCTCATCAGGTTCTGCTGCATGATATAATAAGCATTTGGTGGATAGGATGGGTCAAATTTGAACAATTGATCTTCAATGTCTCTTGCCAAGCAGTAGCAACCCTCCATTTTTGCATGTTCTACTTTTTAGGTGATGCTTGTGTTTCCCTGTCTCAGGTTTATGTGGAGGCCTATACATGTCCCAGCGTTAGGTGCCATCCATTTGAGCCATGTTTTGTTGCCCAGTCAAATGCAAATTACATTGCTATCTTCTCGTCAAGTCCCCCTTTCAGGCTGGACAAGTATAAAAGGTATGAAAGCCATGGTGTCTCTGGGTTCCCTATTAAGTGCAATTTCAGCTTGGATGGTGAGAAGCTTGTATCTGGATCCTCAGATGGTTCTATATACTTCTATAACTATAGGTCATCAGTGCTTGTCAGGAAAATCAAGGCATACGAGCAAGCGTGCATAGATGTTGTTTTCCACCCAGTTTTGCCAAATGTAATTGCTTCATGCAGTTGGAATGGGGATGTTTCGGTATTTGAGTGAGTTTTTGTGTGTCATTCTGCAGCAAAGGTTGGTTCCACTGGGAACTTGGAGCAAACAAACAAGGCGGCAAATCTTGAAGGCAGTTTTGTACATTACGCTTGAATAGAAAGGCAAAAGCACCGAATTAAACAGTATCGAGACATAGTTGCTATTCGAGCTTTGCTTTGGTCTTTTTATTATTCGCAAAGCATTACTGCAAGTGTTTCCCTTTCTAGCAGTTACAGAGCTGTAGATTTGTAGATGCGTTCTTATCTAAAAGTTGTATACTCATTTGAAGTGTTGAATTTCTCTAATTGAAGCTCATATTCTACTGTCTGGAGTTTCATAGATGTGTGCCTATTGTTGGAACTTGGAACTTGAACGAGAAGCAAACACGCGGTCGCAATCTACAACAATGCTTTCTGGATGTTTGCAGCATTCCATGTCTGCTTTCACAAAACCAGAAAGAAGCTTGTGCATTTTCATCTCAGTGCTGCTTTTGGAAAAGGATTGTTGGTGAAGACAATGACGCTCAAGTCGATATCATCGAGTTGCAGGTCGCACATTGAATGATCAGGGACCATTCTGATTTCTGTCATCATACAATGTGCATTATCTGTGCGTCTATTTGTATGATAAGGAGAGGTTTGATATGATGTTTTGATCATCTACAAACCGTTTTGCTTTCAGAGTAGATCTCCACAAGCCCACACCATTGGGCCTGTCTTAAACCCTAGACACGTTTCGTATAATATCTAGGTCGTAATGGGTTCAGATATTTATCCCACAGTCTCAACCTATAATTGTATTTGATTAGAGTTTGAAACCCAAACGGATAGGCATGGATTACAAGACTTTCCAATGCACTGGGAGTTTAAAGTTGCTATCTTGAATCCATCTTTGAAGAAGGCAAAATGTTGCTTTTTATGTGGTGGGTTGGCAGCAGTGTAGCTGTTAACCCATCGTTCGTATACCAGTTATAATTCATTGAGGTGGTGATATGATGTGGGGGCATATTCAAAGCTGTGTTAATGTTCATCCACCTCTCTTTCACGAGAAAGAGAAGGGGAAGGGGGGGCCAAAAATATACTAAAACAAGACATAATTATGCACTCCCCTTTTCACTCTTCATGGGGGCAATTTTAGGGGGACAAGACACACCACCTGCCTTTTTAGATGCATTTGCTCATGGGACCGATAATCTCCAAGCTCCAATCTTCCAACACCAATTCATAAACACAAACGTAAGCCAATATATATATAAAATTGTAAAAAAAAAAGTCAAAATGTGAAACAGATAAATAGTAGAAGAAGCATGCTTGTATCTCCACATTCCTTAGCACTATCTAGACAAAGCAGGCATTGAATTCAAAACATGAATGGTCCACGGGACCTCCCAAAACAGTGTTTATTGGAATATATGATAATCTCTAATCCTGTTTAGGTGAGGAACACAGTTATGCAACCTACTTGCCTAAGTGTGTGTATATAAATATATATTAATTTTCAAATTCCATATGAATATGTTCCCCACCTTGCTTGGTCTCAAGCATCTCCCCCTGCCTTCCCTCTCTTTCTCTCTCTCTCTTCAAAATTAATCTCTTATCTTTTGAAATTGTCACAACATGTTTTTTCAAAAACAAATCAAGAAATGAGGCTCAATGTGGGATGATGTTCCATCGATGGCAATGAAGCTGAAGCTCAAATTATAAAAGCAAGCTCAAAATGTGCCCCCCTACTCCATATGACTGCAATCATAATCCAAAAGAGATATACTTTTCTTCATGTACTTGTGGTCAAGCGAGAGTTTGCATTGCCGGGACCCACCGGCTAGCCTAACCCGCGACAAGAAACGATGGGCTGAAAGGTTTAACCTAAGCAAAACTGAGATATCTATCTATCTATCTAGGACTGGATTGGACATGTAACTCAACATGGTCTAAATAACTTCGATGATGCATTTTGTTGTTTTTTTTGCTTTTGTTGTTTTTGAGTGATTAGGCAACCGAAAACAGCAATTAAAAGGGAATGTGAGACTGGTTAACGATGGAGAATGGTTTGCAAGCTTTTGGAATCATAATGCCCTAAAAAGTCCAAGTTATTTTATGTTATATTAATTTTCAGTTGTCTACACTTTTTAATCCATCTTGTCATGTTTTCAACTATAGATTAATGTTCACCCTCTCCTAGCTACATGCTAGGCCATAATCAAAATGTTTGTGTATCGACACAAAGTGTAACATATCACCAGCCTTCCAATCTAGGCCCTAAAAAGTGAGCCGACAAACTCATTTTATTGGCATCACCATGTGATCTGTGGCCATTACCAAGTCACCCCCATTTGGTTGGTTCTTCTTTCATCGCATCAAAGGCGAAAAAAAGATTAATAAATTTTTCGCAAAGCACCGATCTATTATGATTTTCTTGAAGTTGTTTAATTTACCTATTTAGGAAATATTCCTTTATTAGGTCTTCTGTGCAGGCCATGTAGCCATTCATCAAGTTGTTGCCACTTTGTTTACGTTTTTAATATATATATTTTTATCATGTTGTAGTATGCTCCACACACACACCTAGAGAAAACATGATTTAAGATCTAAAGCTTAATTAACAAGAATTTTCTTATCCCAATTAATCATATCTTAAAAAGCTACGTGAAAGACGTTTGAAGGTACTATATATCACCATTAACTGACTCCAGCTAGATTGATTGCTTTAGATTCTATGTGCCAAGTACTTCTTTTAATTTAAAGCAAGATTTCATTTCAGCTTTTTCAAAAGGTTTTCTTAGATTTAGTACGCTAACATCTAGTCAACCAAGTTTCAACCTAGGTTCTATATTATTAGCTTTATCCCATGGAAAGTGAACACTTAAATTAGTCACCACTAAATCAGACTAATTACAAGAGACCATTAATTATTATACGACATAGCTCCTGTAGATTTGAGTTTACGTGTCAAAACTATATGATTAATTAATTGATGTAGTAAATTTTAGTATTTTTTTATATAAAAATCGAGATTATATTAAAAAAAAAAAAAAATCAACAACAAAGTTACAGCACTGATAAACTTAAGATGCATAAAAAAAATTAATATTATTAATGATTTTTATTCAATGGAAATACAAAACTCTAGTTGCACTAGTTGAGTTTACAAAAAAACAGTTTTTAACAAAAAAAATCAAATAAAAATTTTTGATTTTTTAACCGAAAGACTAAATTTCAATTCGATTTAATTTCAATTTTTATTTTAATCATTTCGGTTAATCAAAAATCGAAATCAAATTGAAAAACAGAATGACCACCCCTAACAAGAGGTTATAAATAACACAAACCGAGTTGACTATACTTTTCATGGTTGTCTCCATGAGAAGTTATTAAGCATATAACTAATTTTGAGAATTAGCACAAAATCAAACAAACACCAATGTAATAGGTAAATACTTTGAATTCGGATGCCTGATTGATCTCGAAAAACACCTCCAGTGATAGATGAGCCAATGAAACTATGAAATGAACTATCAGAGTTTAATTTGATCCTTTTCCTAACACTTCATATTTCAAATAAATGAGTTTTAACAAGCTTATAATTAATTAACCAATTCTGTATAAGACTTATTTTGTCAAATCCGTAGCAGCTAGTAAGTTCCCAACCATATATTCCAAGAACCGGAGTAGTTAGAAATATTAAACCTAAATTGGACCTAAACTATTCTTTCAGATTAAGACCACAAAAATCATGAGACCCGATGTTAGAAATGGTTGCTATTACAAATACTATACTTATATTGTGATTGATTTGTTATTATAAATACTATACGTATACAGTGATTGGTTTAATATATTTTTATGAACCGTGTCCAAATAATAATTCCAAGTCATAGAGACTATTCACAGTTTTATGTTCAATCCATTGATGAAAGGATGGATTAGTAGGTGAACAATACTTGGTGTCATCAGTTGCAAACGTAAATACATGAAGTGAATTAATTTTCCCTCTACCACAATTTGCATAGATGATTGTGAAATGTGATATTTCTATGAATGATGTTTTGTCTCTTTCAAAATTTATTGATTGTTTTGCATAAAAAATATGTGGAGGCATACATGCTTGGTAAACTTTTGCTAGACAAGCCATTTGTGGAAGGCAATGACAAATGCAAAAAATATATACATACTTTCTTGCGCGTAATGATATTGGACAAGACGGAGTTAGGATACATGCCCTGATTTTGCTGCATCGAGCTAGCATGTATAATTGGATCCTGGCCATGAAATGAGAAGTCATATAGTGATTCAATAATTGGGGAATTCCCTTTTTAGACACTGGCCAACACACACACAGAGATATATATACACTCAATAATTATTGTAGATTCTTCTACCAGTTTTTGGGATTGACTTCTTAACAAGAGACTGAACAGGGTCCCTTAATTTTTGGGGCACTTGACCGACAACAGTGCATGAATAGTGAGCGGATAAACCTGTACAAACAATTCCAATACTAACCAACCATGTCAAAAAAGCAAGGCAAATACACCCATGAAGGTGAAACACATATATACCTATATGATTCTAATTCTAGGGCAAAATCACTATCAATGAAAACGAAAGAAAGCAAAAGAGATAGAGTTCGATAAGAAGCACATTCAAAAGGCCAAAGTTAACGGCAACATTTTTATCGTTGCACAAATAAAGTCATGGATAAGGACAGAATCAATCACATATAATAAGAGAGTGCACGATTATTTGATTCAACTTAGTTAACTTCTTACTTATGCCAGTGGAGTTTTTTATGGTTTCTTGTTGAAGGGTGAAAAAATTGATTGGGATTGTAATTACTTTTATAGCATCTCGTTTTTTCTAAACGTGACTCGTACGTGGTACGACGATGTTATATTTTATTTGTTATTCGAGAAACATTTTGAATAACTAATTAAAGTATTTTAAAAGTTTAAATGTATAATCATAAAAAATAATGCAATAGGTATGAAATAATCGAATCCAATATTATGCATG